TGGGGGAGGGGGGGAGAGAACCACAGGTCTGCTAATCTGAGTTGGATTCATACTTCTTTAAAAAAGGTTTCTAGGAACTTCAAGACTGCAAATTCCCAGAACATATTCCTATAACAATCCATGCTGCCATGACAGGGCTTAAACCTGAAATACCTGTTAGTAAATGTTATAAAATACATTTTTTCACACCGTAATACACTACTCCCCATGGCATTCAAACAACAGTTCACTAATAACTTTATTTATGACTGACATAATTAATGAATTAGTGTAAAATATTCACAATTTTTTAGTTTGAAAACAAAAGTGCTGAAGTTACTTCGGTTTGAAAAGAGTGACAGTTACTCATTCTCATAAGAATAATACTCCTTTTGGTATTAATATCTTTAATATTATTTATTTTGAGACTAATATTCTAACAAGTTCAAATTTATCTTTTACTGTTCTACAAAAGCTACTTTCTTTTGTCAGACATTATAAAGTTTTTATGTACATTTCAATCAACTATAATTTACATGAAAGTTGCATTTTAATTGATACACGAATAACATGTGTCCTAAAAGCTAATACTAGACCTAAATAAAACCAGTTAGAAAAAACATACTTTAAAGTGCTAACCTATATTAAGCAAAGAGGAGTCACACACGTCACCACATACTTTTTTGTATGAATAATAAGATACAATGGTTTTCACGGAACATAAAAACTTAGTCATGTTTAAATTCCGGAGCACACATACAATGTGAAAATAGGCCTAGGTTTATTCACTTATAAAAAAAAAAAAACATACTTATTGCTTTCCAGGTTGGGGTGGGGGTAGTGGGAGGTTAGGATACAACAATGCTTTTGCTAACAATATTCTTGGTAAACATCAATTTATACCTAAAAAATATAGTCTCTTTTTAAATAAATCATGAATTATTGTACTTATCTACATTACTTAAATATGATAAATTTAACAATAGTATTCAATAAAAAAGAATTTGAGTCACTGGTGTATTTTGCTATCACCTACTATACTCTCTAAACCTAATTAGGCTTACCTGATATCCTTTAATGAGAAAAATTTCCATAGCTTTTGAAAAAAAATTTAATTTCAAATAAAAACATTTTCTGAAACAAAAAGAACATCTAAAGAAACTCGTCACCTGAAAGCTGTTCACCAGTCCAGGTGGGATTAAACAACCAAGTTTGACACTTTCTTCCTTCAACTTTTAACAAAACAAAGATATTCTCTAATCTTCATACTACTTTTCTCTGAAACTTTGGTGAAAATATTTTCAACATACATTTGCCATTAATTTGACCTTTCAAAGCCAACTTGGCAATACTTGAGGTGTTGAAGGAATTCAGGCACTTCTTACATTACCCCTAGTATTTCAAGTTAAAATCATGCATCAACTTGTAATTGGGATTTGTTATAGACCACAAGGTCAGAATGTGGAAGTTAATGAGAAACTGTATAACGAGATCAGAATGTTAGCTGAAAAAGATGTTGTTAGTATGGGAGGTTTAGTATTCAGGGGTATTGATTGGGAAAATTAAGTCTGACAGTGAGGGGTATAGGTTTTTGGAAATTGTTCATGATACTTTATTACACCAATCGGTGATGGAACCTACAAGAGAGGAAGCTATATTAGATTTAATATTTGCAATCGATTTAAATATGATAGACACAGTTGTGGTTGGTGAACATTTGAATACAAGCAACCATTGCACTATTAGGATTGGGATTTTACTACATGTAGAACTGAAGAATAATAATAATACCCTGATTCAAATTTCAGGAAAACCAATTTTGCTACAGAATGAGACATGATCTGGTTTCTCTAGATTGGACTAAAGAGTAGCGAGAGGATCTTGAACAGATGTAGGAAGCATTTAGGGAAAAATTGAAATGCATACAGAACATACATATTCCCTACAGAAAAAAATGTCAATGAAGTGGAAAAAGCCAGTATGATCTAGCAAAGGTTTAAGAGATCATATTAGGAATAAACATAATAAATTCAAGAAACAAACTTACTGGTAATAATAAGAACTTGGAGTACTATAGCAAATCAAGAGAGCTGGTTAAAAAGGAAATTAAAATAGCAAAAACTGTATACGAAAGAGGGTTGGCTGAGACAGTTAAATCAAACATTAAGGAATTCTTTAGGTATATGATGGGTAAGCAAAATGTTAGGATGGGGATTAGGCTTCTTAAAAATGATAGTGGGAAGCAGATTATGAGATAGTAAACTTATTATATTACATATTCTCTTCAGTTTTTATGAAGGAAAATACAAGTATTATACCTCAACCACTGCACTTAATGTATGGGGAAAATATTGATGTAAAAGATATCATTTTAAGTTCTAAAATTGTAAGAGAAATGTTGGGAAACTTAAAAATTAATAAACTCCCTGGACCAGACAACTTTTATCCTAGAGTTTTAAAGGAACTTAAAGATTTTATTTGTGAACTGCTATCTAATATTTTTTAAAGATCACTGAGTAGTGGAAGAGTATTAGAAGATTGGAAGTTGGCTAATATTAGTAAAGTATTTATATGATATACATTGTCCAGGCAATTATAGGCCAGTTAGTCTTATATCAGTAGTAGGAAAGGTTTTGGAGAGTGTGTTTAAAGATGCATTGCACAGTCAGCATGGTTTCACTTAGGGCAAGTCTTGTTTAACAAATCTTCTGACATTCTTTGAGGATGTTACTACAAGAGTTGATGAATGAAATATTGTGGATTTGGTTTACATTGATTTTCAGAAAGCATTTGATAACGTGCCTCACAAAAGACTTGTTACAAAAATTAAATCTGTGGGTGTGGGGGGGAAAATGTTATTAAATTGGATAGAAAATTTGCTGGCGAGTAGAAAGCAGAGAGGAGTAATAAAAGGAGTTAGATCTGACTGAATCACAGTAACAAGCGATGTGCCTCAGGGCTCTGTGCTGGGTCCTCTGCTCTTTGTGATTTATATTAATGATATTGACTCTGGAATGACTAAAAAATTTGAAGTTTGCAGATGACATTAGATTTTTGGGGTGGCTAACTGTATCAAAGATGCTGCAGACTTACAAGGATGATTAGGCCAATACGTGGCAGATGATGTTTAACTATCCAAAATGTAAGGTGATGCATGTAGGTTTTCACAATTCAAATTATTGTTCCAATTTAAATGGGAATACATTAAATAGTTTGGTTGAAGAAAACAAAATCTTGGTGTTGTGATTGAAAAATCACTTAAGTCATCTAAACAGTGCATTGTAGCTAGCAATAGGGTAATAGGATTTTGGGTAGCATCTATAGAAATATTAACTACAAGACAAGGAATATTATTGTTTCACTGTACAGATCACTTGTAAGTCCTGATTTAGATCACTGTGTACAGTTTTGGGCTCCCTTCCTCAAGAAGGGCATTGAATTGTTGGAGAAGGTTCAGCAAAGAGCCACTAGGATAATACCTTGGATGGTGGGATTGTCCTATGAGGAGACACCAAAATCTCTAAACTTGTTTTATCTGGAGGGGAAAATGCATTTTGATTGAAGTGTTTAAGATTATTAATGGTATTAATAATATAGATCCACCAAACGTGTTTAGCAGTGAAAATAATATGACAAGGGGTCATAAATTCAAATTTTGGCAGCATAGGAGTAGTCTGCAGTTTAAACAGTATTACTCTTCAAATAGAGTGGATGGCTTTTACAATGAGCTACCTTCAATGGTGGTGGAGGCAGAAAAGTTAATTGAGTTCAAGAAAAGATTGGATGAATACATGAGTAGTAAGGGGTGGTTATAGTTTGGAGCTGGAAGGGACATTCTTGATAGGTTAATAAGCTCCTTTCTGCATGTTTAAAATTTTATGAATTTTTATGAATGTCCTGTACTCATTAGCTGAAAGCCAACACACATTACAATTGCATTTTCCACACTGAATGAAATAAATCTACAGAACAGTCTGAAAAATAGAAAGACTTGCCCAGTCAGACATGAAATCACTATGCATTTCTCACAGAGTTCAAAATCCAGAAACTTAAGTAGAAAGAACCTGACTGTCAAACAATGTACTGAGAAATCCAGAGTAAAATGATGATTTATGAAACTATAACAACTCCAACTATGAAAGCTAACTATTTTTCCAACAACGACTGACAGGAATATTTCACTGTAATAATATATTTTCAGGGACTATTATCTCCTTAAACCCAGGAGGACGCTGCTAGCATTCGGCCACAAATCCCAATTTACCCATTGGACAGTGACACCAAATGTTCAATGGGGAGAGGTTTGAGGCTATTTACTCAACAATGTTACATATGGGTACCCCTGTTGCTGAAGGGAAAAACAAGATTAAGAAAATTGAAGTTTTATAAGGTATGGTAATAATTATTAGGAAATCATAAAATAATTCTGACAGAAAATGCAAAACATTTAAAGAGTTAAAAAAGTATATTAATATTATTATAAAGTACTTGGAATGTTTTCACTCAACTTACAATTCCCTGCATGGCTTTAAAAAAGTGTTCTTGCCTTAACAAGTTGTTCAAATCTTTTATTAAGGTTGCCACCTTTTTGAAAGGTTTGAAAGCTTCTGAAAAGAAGCCTCACCAAATTGTGAATTAGAAGCTCATGGAATTAGTGGACTGTTTTTATCATGAAATTGGGATCTCTTTTACAGCCTTTGTTGTTCATTATTTATATCAGTGCCTTGGACATTAATGTTTCTAAATTCACTGATGATACTAAAAATCTGCTGGATAAGAGTTAATTCAAGCAAAAAGAATCTTGACAGTCTTATTGCACAAGTAAGAACATATCAAAAAGAAATAAAAAATTACTTCCTGTATTATTAACAAGTGTAAAATTATGTACTTAAGGTATAAAAATTTGAAAAAAAACTTACTTTTTGTGTAAGAAAAGCAACGATATTCCACACAAAAAAAAAGATAAGATTTTTTCTTGTTCTTTTGTGTTATCTAAAGGTAAGTTTGTTACATATACTTACTTGGTAATAGCGTGATAAAGTCCCTCTTCAACATAGGCCGAAGATAACAGCTAACATGACTGTGTTGATAATGTGACATTTTTGAGAGTAATAGTTCAACAAATTCCACTTGACTATTTTCATTCCACTTTTCAAAATATCTACAACACATTTCTTTTTCTTGTAGGTATTCTGGGGAAGGTTCTTCACGCATGGAATTTTCATATAGGACAGTCATTGGTACCTGATGCAAGAAATAAAGAAAAAAAACATTTAATAATTAAAATGTAAGGCCATGATTAGTTATACTCATGTTTATCTTTCAAAACCTACTGAGAAATGTCCATTAAGAACAACCTAAATTCTGATAAAAAGTAAAACTTATACAAATACAACAAGCTAGCCATTTATTAACTTAAGGAGCCTTTCAAGATTATCACTGTGTTCATTAATTTCACCTTCATTAATCTTTTATTTATACTTGAATAGGAGTTTTAACTTTCTTTTTTTTTAAATTACTTTCCACAGATTACAATCCACAGAAATACCTACATATATAACACGTCAGTGTTTATTATTACAGATGAAACTGGAATGAAGTTGCTAATCAACAACTTTTAAAGTTTACGCCGATCACACCCATGGTAATAACAGCTGTTCATGTTTTTAAGGTGTACTGATGAAAGGTACCTTTTGTCTAGTGTACAAAAATGTTTTTAAATATATTATAGCTAAGAAATAACTATGCACTGTCACAAGTAACTGGTATTTATGTTAATACTACACTATCCATGTACATGTCAAAAAATTTCATTTAGGTTCATAAAAATGAATGAATAATGAGCTTGGGAACCACTGCCATAAGCAATACCAATTGGCAATTTGATAGTTTCTGTTTATTTTGCTGATTTTCAAGAGATAAGGTAGCTTTGTTAAATGGCTTTGCAAAAGCATCTTTCATTAGATTTTCATAAACTTTTCCAACTAATGCATTTTTTAATGGTTTGACTGATGGTTAGCTATATGCAGCTAAAATTGAATTTATATTCAATTCTGATTGACACCAAAGTAAAATGTGATAATTACATTGATGTTCTAGGCCACATTTAAAACTGGTTTAATTTTTGGGGGGAATAGGAGCTTTTTTTTATTTGTATGAAAGTGAGCTGTGACCTCAATGGCTTAAAATTAATTCTGTTTTTTTTTTGTAATGTATTTAAATTACATTAAATTGAATTCACATCAATACCCACAAACGGCATACTGCTAGTGTTAGGCCTAGCATTCACTGTTTAGTCAAGGCTTACAAGTTACATTTTGTTATTACTGTGGTTTAAGTTGATTTTCATTAAACAGTAACATTACTACTATGTTGTTAATTTCCAAGTTCTAGTAAAATACAAAATAAATATTATTACTATTAGTTCTACTTTATTAATAATTATACATGTCTATACTATAGTAGTAAGTACTAATAGAAGTTACATTTTACAATTACGTGTACAAATCACAATTAGAGAATTACTTGAGTAACTTTTTTATTAATATTACTATTAGTCTTATCTCCGAATCTAAACTATGTACAATAGTAAATCTTCGTTTTTATAATTTCATTCAATATTCCCAACAATAACACTATTAGTATTACTAGTGTTAGTATAACAATGCCATTCCCATACAGTCAAGCCGAATCAAACTCAAAGCTATGTTAATGCTGAACTTTTCAAGTCAATTGTTAAGGCTTAACTTTACCCTACCCTAAAAAATTCCTAAGTTAATTCTTTCAAACTACAAAGAACATACCTGACCAACTACTGATTTTTCGTCTAATATTGTACTAGTTTCCATGATTAGCAAGTCAATTTTGCACTTTAATCCACACAATAAAGCCACGACACAACATGAAAACGCAATCTCGAAATATTTAGGCTAGCCCATAAAACTACCTCAGTCATCAATGATATACGCGGAAACCCCTGACGTCAAACGTCACCAGACAAGAAGTGATTCTGAAGAGATTCGAAAAATGTCTTGCGTCGCCTCTTTCTTTTCATATACCAGGGTTTGAAACGACAGTTCACATTTCTGCAAATAGATAGTATAACAAACACGCGTATGGTGTAAAGAATAGCCTTTCTCAGGGTAGTGACTTCAAAAACTCTAAAGCAAGAAGCTGTAAACGAGATTAAGAAAAACGTCATATGAACGACAGAAAAATGATTTATACAATTGCATATTCTTTACGCTATAAATGTAAAGCAGTAAATTTATTTTGTTATAACTTTACATTAAATTAATTCCCTTTAAGATAAATGATATTTGTTTTTAATATTGAAATAATTTAATGTTTATGATCATGCAATATTAACTCAGTGAACTTGTAGGGTAGCTCAAAGCAAACCTCTAGCCTAATCATCAGCTGCATTTAATTCTAGGAATTGGTAATAGTTTTAATAATGGCTGGAGACGGCTTGAATGGGTAATGAAGAAAAACTTTAATATAAGTTTAACATAACAGCAAATGTACAACGTTTCGACAAGGTTTTGTCAT